TAACCTTTCTGGAGTTATAACAGATGGAACCCCATCCATTTGGAAAAAATGAAGGGCTCGTAGCGCTAATTAAAAAAGAAATGAGTATATGTGGTGCTTTACAATTGATACAATATCACTGCATTATCCACCAAGAAAATTTATGTGCAAAATCCATTGGTTTTCATACTATTATGAAAGATGTTGTAAAAATAGTAAATTTTATCAGATCAAGAGCATTGAATCATAGAGAATTTAAAAACTTTTTAAGTGAAATAGATGCTGAACAAGGTGATGTAATCTATTTTACAGATGTTCATTGGCTCAGCAGAGGAAAAGTATTGAAAAGGGTTTTTGATTTAAAAAATTAAATTTTTGAATTCGCTGTAAGTTAAGGAAAAAAATTTGAACAACTTAATGATTAAGAATGGAGAAATGATTTTGCCTATCTTACGGATATTACATTGCACTCGAATGAACTGAATTTACGTTTGCAACGTTAAAACCAATTAATACATAATTTATTCGACCATATTAAATCTTTTGAAAATAAACTTCTGTTGTGGGAAATTAAGCTTAGAAAAAATAATATTACTCACTTCTCATGTTTATCAAAATACAATGTCACTTCAACGGAAAAATACGCAGAAGCAATTTCTGATTTCAAAATCCAATTTGATTCGAGGTCCTTAGATTTCAAAGCTAATGAAAAATTGTTTAATTTGTTTTCAATTCAATTTTCCTTATCAGTTGAAGATTTTCCAGAAAACATGCAAATGGAGATCGTTGATTTACAGAACAATACAATATCAAAAGAAAAATACAATAATGTTGAACTTTCAATTTTTTATTCGAAATATATTGACACGGAGACATATCCTAATCTTCGAAACAACGCATTACGAATGTTGTCTCTTTTTGGCAATACTTACACTTGTGAACACATTTTTTTACGAATGAAAATTGTCAAATCTAAAACTAGAGCTCGGTTAACAGATATTCACTTAAAAAATTCACTCAGAATTGCATCGTCTCAGATCCAACCAAATATCGAAAAATTAGTTACTGAAAAACATTGTCAGTTTTCACATTAAAAAAAAAAAAAATAAAAAAAAATGATTATCTATATATGCTTTAATAATAATAATAATTTGTAATTTTACCTACCTAATCTTAAAAATTGTAATAATAAAACTGAATTTTTATATAAAATACATGTTTTTACTACGAATGCGGTCCGCAAGATTAAAAAAAAAAAAATATATGGCCCGCTGCATAAAAAGGTTGAAGACCTCTACCCTAAAGGGTTGAAAAGTGTAAAAATAGAAAAAACTGCCAAGCCGGAACCGTTGAATCTATGAGTATGAAATTTGGTCAGTAGATTCGTTGCATGATGTAGACATCCGTAAGATAGGATTTTTCAAAATTCAACCCCAAGGGAGTTAAGTTAAAGGGTTAAAAAGTATAAAATGAAAAAAAAAATAAAAACTTTCTTAATCAATTTGATTTTAGTGAAAGTAAGAAGTACTCGTGACATTGCCTTAGCTGTAGCATTTTCTGGAATAGCTACATTGCTCGAGGGTGGTCGAACTGTCCTTGCTACCTTCAAACTAACACTCAATCTAACAACTTCGGTCACTTACGTTTGTAATATATTAAAACAAAGTAATTTTGCGGAAGTTTTAAAAAAATACAAAAATAATAGTGCGGGACGAAATTACAATGGAACATAATGGTGGTGTTGAAGCTTTAAATAGATATCTAAAGGATATAAGGGAAAATCAAAGATTAATGGGTGGTGTAACGGTTTTGCGGGCTGAAGACTTTAGACAAACTTTATCAGTAGAACCAAAAAGGACCAGAACTGATGAAGTTAATAAAGTCATGTCTTAATAGATCTACTTTGTGGCCTCAGAGTTATATACTCAAACTATCGAAATATATAAAGGTATACTTGTAAGAGTAAAAGTTTTCTGGTAGATTTGCAGATCTTTTACTTGAAATTGGTAATGGTGATTATCCATCAGTTAATGAAATGTTAACTATCCCAGAAAATGTGTGCACAGTCGTAACTACGGTTCAGGATTTAATATCAAAAATTAATCCAGATATTGCTCATATTCATGATAAACCTAAGGAATGGTTGTGTGAACGTGCTATACTCACTCCAAAAAATGACCAAGCAGTGGTTATCAATGATACACTGCTGATGTATTTTGAAGGGGAAGAAAAAGTATATACTTCGATAGATACGGCGGTGGTCAACATAGACGATGCAACTAATTATCCGGTTGAATTTTTAAATTCATTGAAACCACCGGGTATGCCACATCATAGGCTTATTCTGCGTGTGGGCACACTTATTATGTTGTGGCAAAATTTGAAACCACCTAAACTGTGCAATGGGACCTGGCTTAAAGTTAAAACTTTACATTGAAATATAGTAGAAGCCACAGTTTTAACTGGATGTGCAAAAGGGGAAACTGTGTTTGTACCACGAATCCCTTTAATTCCGAATGATCTTCTGTTCGAATTTAAACGATTCTCAAGTCTCAAGGCCAAACTTTCAAATTTGCAGGAATAGGTTTGCGAGAAAACTATTTTTCACATGGACAGTTCTACGTAGCTTGCTCACGCGTACGCTCACCCAGTATCTTGGTTATTTTGTCGCCTACTAATAGATCAGCGAAGAATATTGTCTATAGAGAAATTTTTTAGATAACATTTTAAAAAACTATTAGTAAAACATTTATTTTAAACCTTCGCTGCTAAAACTTATCGCCAACAAAGCTACGGTTGCTAAAAACTAACTTATAAAATAGGTTATGTCACAGTGCTTCCCAAATTTTTTTGACTCATGGCACCTTTTTTGATCTAAGGTTTTTTCAGGGCACCCTTCTCCAAGCCATAGCATGATTAATCATAAGGAAAATGTTATACCGGATAGTATTTCATGACGCCCCTGTACAGACATCGTGGCGCACATTTTAGGAACCGATGAGTTATGATAATAATTATTATCTTAAAAACTAAATAAAAATATGTATAAATAAAATATTATTTCAATAATCTTAATTAATTTAAATTGCAATAGATTAAACAAAATTTAATCGTGTTAGGTTACATAGATTTTTATACTTAAACCCGGCAACGACGGGTAATTTAGCTAGTATAATATATAAAATATAATTAATTAAACAAATTTTGTTTTTAACTTTTCCCACAAAATCTGTTGTGAAATGTTTGTCAAAAAATGTTTTTTATCTTATGCCAATTTTAATTTTTCTTAAAATGTAGTTTTTGTTGAATATGATTTTTAAAATCTGAAATTTTTAAGTGATTTAAATGTTGGGATAAAATGCTTTTTAAATTTTAAATCTCTCTTCCTACTAAATTATTTGTTGAATAAAAATTTGATTTCAGAATTCAACCTTATTGTCTCTGCTCCTCACTTGACTTTGATTGTAGCTTCAGAATTATATTTTATGTGTAATATATATTGATATCTTTAGATATGACTTTTAATTTCTTACTAGTTATATTAAAATAGATATATACATTTTTTATTCAGCGAAAAATATTTAACAGGCTTTGTATACTTGATGATGTACTTTTAATTCCAAACCGTCGTACATTAAAATTATAATAATACTCCAGGCTAAGCTTTTATGTAATTATTTCCTTTTTTTATCTTTTTATTTACTTCAAAGTATAAACTATTTGTTTATTTATTTATATATAAACTTAGTAGTATTAACCATTTAACAGTTTTTAATTTGTATTTCATTTTATTATAATTTTATTAAAAAAAAACTTATCACGACTTTTGGAATTTGTAATTGTATCTTAAAATTCCTACATTTGAAATATTAATTTAATACATACTAAGTATGTATATAAGTAATTATTTTCTAAAACTTAATATTTTATGTAACCTATGATATTTATTTATTTTCGATTTTCAATATTTATTATTGGGTGTAAAATTACAACCTTATAATAGGGAGTTTTCCTTTTTATTCAATTTTATGGAAACTTGCCTAAACGGAAATTATTGTTGGTCCCATATAATTCTACATAAGACAGGTTTTACTGTATATGTTTATGTACAACATACGCATATAGGGAACTGGTAAAACAGGGATGTTGTAAGTGACTTCTAAAACCATTATAGGTAGTCTATATAGTATATATTTATATTTTGGTAGTACCTATATATCTACCAGACGAATAATATTTTTCCTCTACTGAAACTATAACAAGGTTTCGATGAATTTAATTTTAAATTTGATTAATTTAGAATTAATTTAATTAAATTGCGTTTTGAATTATGTAAACGTTTTTAATTTCGTGAAAACCGGATCAAACATGCGGTCTACTACACATATTTTTAGAATATAATATGTAATAATATGTATTAATATATAATAAATAGAATATAATAGTATATTCTAAAATCAATGGTAGGTAATATCAAAGATTGGCCATACATATACATATTCTTTAAACATAAACTGTAAAGGATCATGCATTATCATCAAATATTTTGTTATAAAAAATAAATCTTATGTAAATCATTTTTTCGTTCACATCAAATTCAGATGTAAAACAATATTGAATAGATGATTTTATTTTTAAAAATTAGATAGTTGGGATCCTCCAAAAACTGTGGTCATAGATATTCTGCCTTGTAACTGCATGTTTAATGTTTAATTGTTATGAATTTATATAAGTATCCTATTTTTATCGATTGAAAAATGTTGAGTTACTAAGAATTAAACAAGTGACTTAATTAGAAACAAAATTATTTTACATTGACTGAAACCTTAAAATCTATTCGAAATATATTTGAACTATAATTATTTTCGACAAGGAAGTAATAGGAAATACATTAAATTCGGTTCATTGAAACAATTTTTTTTTTATTCAATAACTTTTGTAGGTCATGTTTAAAATGGGTACAATAAATTTTATTTAAAATATATTATCGTTGCACTAATAATTATTTTTATTGTTTTTAGAATATACTATTCTACTACGATTATGCGAGTTGTAATAAACCATCCGGTGTTATACTATTGGAAGGCAGTTATTGCTCAAAATTAGATTTTTCTAGCGGTACGTCAAAAGTCACTGGAAAGATTCATCCGGAAAATGAGGTTGACTAAATAATAAACTAAAATTACCAAACAAAACAAACTTATATGTTTTAATTTTACAGCACTGTTTCGTTATTTCTTACAATCATCCACAAATGCGACAATACGAGTTTCGTGCATCCACAGAAACGTCTTGTAAGACTTGGGTGAACGCATTGAAACAAGCCAGGTAAAAAATATTGTTAACACATTCACATTCATTTCAATCCTGGATAATTCATCGAATTGTTATGATTTCGATATTAGTTTCAATAAGTTGCTGTTACAAAAAGAAGAACTTGAACAGCGGCATTTGCATTTGCTGCAAGTAGTCGAGAGTGAAATGACTGCGAAATGGCAGTACACACAACAGTGTGAGGAGTTGGCAACCGAAATAAAAAAACTCCGAGCAGAAGTAATAAATTACAAAATAATATTATAGCTCGTAGCTTATTAGGGTTTTTTTTTTGTTTTTTTAAACAAATTTGTTTAGTACTCGCTCAAACGTTTTACAATCTTTACTAAATATTTTAAACATATACCAAGGAAAGATGATTGATCTCTTTTCATTTGATAATCAAATTCGATCACGACTACTATATAGAAACTGATTTTAACTATTCGAGAGCATGGACTGAGACCATAATGATTTTAACGGTTCCTGTTAGGGTTCGGGTCTTTACAATATTTTTTTAGGGTTTTAGGTTAAATTATTAAATTAGGATTTCATTAAGTTCAAAATTTAGGTTCCGGTTAGAATCGGTTTAAACCGGTTTCTAATGTTTATTTTTGAGTATTTTTTTTTCAAATAAAAAATGTTAAGTCTTACATGTACATGTTACACTAATTTAGGTAGCTACTGTTAAAAGTTTTACCCCATACGAAAGACGTAATTCACTGTTTATATTTTTTCGTGAAATTATATCTTAAGGTTGTAATGTAGAACTCAAATTAGGTACCTAAGTAAGTCTTTTTTCAAAAAAAAATTACAGATTAAATAATAGATCGGTATATAATGAAATAACTAATATAAACTAATTAGTAATTTTAACTAAATTAACTTAATAATTTAACTAATGTCATATTTAAATAATTTATAATTATCAATAGAGATTTTTTATATTATACAAAACCAAATCAATAAAACGAGTAGTGTTTACTGTATAACTTGCATATATTTACCATTTAAAAAAATCATCATCATTTTTGTGAAAGTAAAAATAAATTTCAAATTTATTCATAGAAATTATTTTCCATTATCGACGTTATCATGTAACATACATTAAATTCATACACTATTACAATATTAATAATATTATTAATGTAATTATAATAATATACATAAGTTTTTACGTTCTTGTAATTCATATTATCATTTTCGATCGTTGACCATCGTCGTCGATTGTAACGGTCCCCGACATATGGACGACGCGACCGGAAATAACATTACGTATTTATTACATTATAATATTATATAAAATATAATTTTTGTTTCTAAAAAATAAATTTTTTGTTTAAATGTTTAAAAGTTACTATTTAGTTTTTAATACAGTAATTTACTTCTAATTAACTATTTGAAAACCGAAAAAAATCCTAAAAAATCGGCCATTTTTTTTAGTATTCTTTAATAGGGGTTTAGGTTTCGGTTAGGGTCTTTTAAAAATGTAAAATACAGGTTACGGTTATTTTCGATTCTTTAATTTACATAAGATTATAGGTTCCGTAACCGGTTATTTTCGGTCCGGTCTCAACCCCTGTTCGAGGGTATTCGAAAAATTCAATAATTAATGAAACAGAGACGTATACATTTTTACTAATGCGTTTGTATTTTGTACGAAAAGCTAATCGTGGTATAACTTTCATACACGTAGCTAAGACCAGCTAAGGGATATTGGTTTTCTTAACACATGCATGCCACTTGAATATAATCATTGGATTAGTACCAATGGACACCGTAATTTTTGGGTGTCCTTTATAATAGGTGTTAACATTAAAGAAGGAACTGCGCCCGTTGACGTCATATGGCGGGTCCACCACTGGCTCATTCGACGGTGGTACTGGTTCATACTCGCGAAGACAATCCAAGGACAGTTTCATATTTTCGGACCCTGCTACTTTCAATGTCCAAGACTCAATCGAAATGCGCAAAATCAAAAAGGTGCAAAGTTTCTTCAGGGGTTGGCTTTGTAGGAGACGGTGGAAACAAATCGTGGAACAGTACATAAAAAGTCCTCATGCGGAAAGCATGCGAAAAAGAAACAGGCAAGTCTACACATCGAATAATATTATACACAATACTCTTTACCTACTGGTAGGTAAATTACCATTGATTTTATAATATGTTATAAAATCCATTATTATACTCATATCACGCAGTACACTAGTTTACGTTTTGATAGTTTTGATAGTTTATTCGTTTTTTTTTTTTTTACAAAGAGAAAACATTACATTAGACCAGTGGTTTCAACCTTTTTAACAATGCGGCACACTTCATCTACAAAATGTTGGCGACACAACAATCCATATATTATGTGAACCATATTTTATGTTTATAAATGTACACTGTTTACAGTTACTCTATTGAAGGTTATTAAATAATAATAATAATAAATAATATTAATATTAACTGTGAAATATATTAATACAATTGATCGATCAAGATGGTTGCGACAGGCATACAATAAATAATAAATATATATACGATTAGTTCGATCAGTTTTCGTCGAATATCGATAATAAGCTGATAAATACATACTTATAAAACAATTTATAGATTTATCGCGGCACGCCGGTTGGGAACTACTGCATTAGACATTAGATTATTATTTATATTGTAAATTTAACTGTCATGCAGTAAATTAATTCAGTATTTTTGCTTTATTGATATTATCTATTAATATATCTTTAAAGCTCACTTTAATACTAACTAAACATTATTTTTCTGTACAATAACTTATTTTTTTTACACAGATGTTTGAATATTGTTGTCAAACAGATCAATACCATTTTCATTAAATATGATTTATTTTTTTTATTCATATATTTATTTTTTTGAGTAACTCTTACAATATTTAAATTCTTAAACCACTAATAACCACTTAAACCAAAATTGGTTTCACATAATTTGTATACCTACTCTTATTAATTAAAAAAATTTGTTATACCATTTCAAAAAAATTAGCTATTGAATAATACAAGTTAAACTATAAATATAAAATGTGTATATAACATATTATATATTTTCGTCATCATACAGTTGATAACATTGTTAAACCGTAAATAGATTTAACATTTCATTTTAATTTGTAATTATAATTACATTGTGTTTAAAGTACACACACCACGATTCAACATCACTGCGGGTGTCGCCCAAGGTAGTGATTTAGCACCTGACCTCTATAAAATGTATACTGCTGATATCCCTCAAACCTCCAACACACTATTAGCCACCTTTGCAGATGACACAGCCTTATTGTTCACAAGCGATGATATTTTTACAGCTGCACATAACTTGCAATATCACGCAAGCTTTATTGAAGCCTGATACAAAAACTGGTAGATTTAAATAAATGAGAGTATGTCAACTCAAGTTACCTTTACTCTCCGCCATGGTATTTGTCCCTTAATCAAATTAAACAACGCAAATATTCCTGTAAGAAATGAAACTAAATATCTCGGCATTTTAGTTGACAAGCGTTTAACTTGCGGCTCCCATCTCAAAAACAAGAGAAAAATGGCGAATAGTAGACTCCATATTTTTCGACCTCTCCTAAAGTCCAAACTCAAATTTAAATTAAAAATGTCCACAAATCTTATTCCTAACTAGCCTCCACGCAAATGATACAATCACCTTATACTAAAACTAGATAAGTAATTAATCTATACAATTTTACATGGGGTATTACCAGTGGGTGACTTCCCCTATCAAGTGACTCATGTTATGTTCATATTATATATATTGTTATCACAATGACTTATACAAATTATGTGTATAGATTGTCTTTTCATTTCAAATAAAAAAAGAAAAAAAAAGGTCACACAGATATCTTTCTTGTATTATTTCTGTGCGTCTAATAAAATATTAAATGTTATTGTACTTGACATAATATCTCTGAACAAACAATATATTATTTTTTTTAATTTTTTAGTCTAGTCTTTCGTATGGTCGAAGCTGAGGAAGAATACGTGAGCCAGTTGGAAGTTTTAGTCACGTGTTTCCTACGGCCGTTACGGATGGCAGCCAGCTCAAAAAAGCCACCGTGCACTCACGAAGACATAAGTTCGATATTCTTAAACAGCGAGACTGTATTGTTCTTACATCAGATATTTTACAAAGGACTGACAACTAGAATGGAAAATTGGCCCACTTTAATTCTAAGTAAGTAAACTGCCGCCGAAGTGTCATAGTTTACGCAGTGTTGTAAAAAATACTTGTTCTCGTCAATATTGTTATTTGTAATTTTGTTCATGTCATTATCTTCGTGCGATGCGTAGCCGTGCGTTGCACATCCGCAGCCCTCATCGGCGGCAGTGATAAGCCTCCGTGTGCGACCAACCGGGTACGTAATCGCGCTGTTGTCATCGCGCGTAAATGTTCGTTATTGCACGTTTTCAAGTTTTTGTCGGTTATGTTTTTCAGTAAAAGTTAAAGTCATTAAAGTCATGTTCTCAGTACCACAAAGTTTCATAAGTTCTCGTGTTTTTTGGTTTAGTGTGGTGGCACTGAGACATTTATCTTCATTTTGTGGTGTCCGTCGGCCAGAGCTTTCGTGGTGAATGTTGTCGGCACCGTCTCGCTTTCGTCTTTATGTCTTCGTGGTGTGCACATCAAATTTCATTTTGTCAAGTTTTCATACGTCCGCAGCCATTTTGTTTAAACCACGTTTTTGAGTATTGTCATTTTCGTTTGTGAATCGACCGTTTGGTAAAGTATCGTTTGAGGCAATCTGATATTTTCCAGTGATTAATTTCGTTGTTTTTCAGTTTTACCAGCGGTCGCTTTGTGAATAACGTGTTTTTATTCATTGTGTCATCGTCCAGGGCTGTGTAACATTGCAATTTTTTCGTTAGTGACTGTGTTTTGCTGGTCGCACGTACCAGTCGCTATGACTTATTTCTTTCATACACTGCGGTGTGCCGTCGTAGGCAATTGTAAAGTCACAGTGCTGGTGCGGTCGCGTTGGGATAAAATCCGCCATCAATCACAGTCGCATGTGAGTATTGGTCGACTATATTTGTTTTGTGTCATTTGTGTAAGGGCCGACGAGCCTTGCCGTTCATAGGCAAATTATATATACTTATTACTAATTATATTATATTTTTCAATTTTTATTATTATATTCTAGTTGTGCCACTGAAGGGCCAACCTGTATTTATAGTTATTAATATCATTGTATTAGGCCACCATAGGCAAATAATTTATCATTTACATTTAATCCATATTATTTAGTTTATTATTTACACATAATATTACATTAATTTATTTACCTATAATTGTTGTGCCAACTAGGCAATCTAATACATTATTTTTATTACTATTACTATTATTACTATTATTATTGCATTATACAGTCCACTTAATCTTTAATTTGTATTTTTATATTTCTTATATTTATTTATTAATTTTCAACACAACGCGTTGTAACGTTGAATTCCCCTCGAATGGTTATTGCCATCACCAGGGCAACACTTCTTCTTATACTTTTAAAAAGTATTTGAGTGATTACTCGAATACTTATTAAATAAAGTATTTAAAATACCACCCAAATATTATTTATAGTAGATTGTTTGAAATAATTTTCAAATAAAAAAAAAATGATTCAATAATATTCTAGGTTTATTAAACAACAATTTGAGTGTTACATTTTAAAAACATTATTTGCTCGAAATGCTGATCTGTGTTTGTGATTTACGGGTGTATAGACCGTCGGTATTACAATGACAAAGAGTGTTTTCAAGAGAGGAATAAATAATAAAAGAAAAAGACTCAATATAGATAGTAAATAGTTAATATTATTAATATATATATATACAGTGTGATCACGATTAAAGGTAATACTAAATATCTCAGGTGGATGATCTTGTATTGAAGTAAATATTTTAGAAGACCTAGAGGGCATTTAAATACAAATTTATTCATGATTTTCAAATTTTTAACACTTATGATGTGCGCATGCGCAATATAACTTACATTTTTTTAAATGGAAACACTACTTTTTTTTTACATATTTGGATAGATTATTTTTTTTAAAAAATTTTTTGTGTTATAAGTTTTTTTCTATTTACAAAATTGACCAAAGTATAGTAAATCAAAATTTGAATTTAGGCATAATTCGTGTTTAATGGAATAACCATATATAACCACTATAAATAATAAAATAAGTGTGAAATAATTATAAATATAATTTTTAGTTTACGATATTTTTTTGAATTTCGTCAACTGTATTAATTAAATGTATAGTAACAAAATATTTATATTAAATACAAAATATAATGTATTAAATAAATTTTTCTTATGAATTGTTCAAAATTTTCACTATAATGTTCCAAACATGATTCAAGTTGCCTTAAAAATTCAGTCGAAGTTGCCGCCTTGATTTGGTCCTCACTTAAAATATCACAAGCTGTCTGTATTTTGTTTTTTAAGTCCTGGAGATTAACAGGTGGATAAACTGCATAAACCACAACCTTCAAATATCCCCAGAAAAAAAAAAAATCCAATGGCGTTAAATCTGGGGATCGTGCAGGCCAAGGAACGACGCCATAAGTACCAATCCAGCGGTCCGGAAATATTTTATTTCATTGTCATGTAACAATAACTGCATTGTGATCTGGTGCTCCATCTTGCTGAAAAACATACGTTCTCGTTTTTCTAATGAAACATCTTCCAACAGTCTTGGTAGCTCGTCGATTAAAAAATTAAGATATCGTCTACCACTAAGCGTTCCATTATAAAAGAACGGCACTATTAGCTTTCCACCAATTAACCTGCACCATACATTCCCAGACCGTTTGAAAATTGGTTTCACGTGACCAGTGAGAATTTGTGTCATACCAGTATCGATAATTTTGTTTATTCATAAGGCTGTTGTTAGTTAATTTTGATTCACCATTCCAAAGAATATGATTGATAATCGAAGTATTATTATGAAATTTAATATTGAACCAGGCTATAAATTCTAACCTACGAATTGAATCTCCTACACGCAAATGTTGAACAAAATCGACTTTATATGGATGTATTTTATGTTTTTTTAGAATTTTTTGGACATCACCATATGAAACTCCAATTTCGCGAGCAACATATCTAATTGACGAATGTGGATTAGCACTTTATGTATGTTAGTAATTGTAACTCTGTATTGTCATCAAACATATTTACTCAACGCTTTTGTTGGTTGATTTATCTGTCAGGAAATCTTCCTTCCTGATTTAATCCTTGTAAAAGTCGTACAACATAATTATAAGGTGGATGGTATCTTTCTGGGTATCGTTCGATATATTTCTTAGCAGCTAGGCGTGCATTACGCTGACATTCGCCATCAATTAAAATTAACTCAACTTTTTCAGTGTTACTCATATTTAAACAATTATAATTTATAAAAGTACTTAATGACCAGACATACATGGATAACGCACACACATTGGTTCGGGTTTAGTTAAAGAACTAAAGTTAAATTATATTTTTCATCAAACTTCCTTCATACCTTCAAAATTACATTAACTGATTATCATATCGTTATTTGAGATATTTTAAAATAAAATAAAATTTCACTGTAAAAATTATTAAAATTTTAATCGTATTATAGCAGTTTACTAATCAAAAATTATCACATAATCTAGATATTCTTTCTGGTAACCTACAGTATTATTAAATTATTATTTTTAAACAGATAAAGTAAATCAAACATTTATCTGGCACTTATTTACATTGGTTATAAATGGAGATACACGAATTATGCCTAAATTTAAATTTTGATTTACTATACCTTGGTCAACTTTGTAAATAATAAATATAATGCCAATACAATGACAAATAAAATAAAATTACCGTGGTTGCCCGATGCCAAATGAGTATGCACGTTCCCGTACCGTTTAACGAAAAAATACAATAACAAAACCAACGGCATATATGTCAAAAAACCGAGAAAAGAAAACAACAATTACGACGACACTGTCCGTTGACGGAACACATAAAAAGCACACAAAAACTTTTACGCACGGTCAACATACGCTCCGTTCATATTCGGACCGTTGCGTGTCGGAGCGGAGCAGAGCGAGTGGTTGATAAGACGCGCGCAAATTCAAACATGGCCTGAACATTAGTTCTATTTTTTTGGAATAATTGCACCTCCAACACTTAATACTCACTGCATTATCACTGTGATCAATTGTTTTTAATAGATTTGGATATTGTGTCTGAATACAATTAAATTATATAACCTTTAAGTTTTAATAAATAATTAAATTTTTTAATGTAAGTAAATACTAAATTGTGTATTTGTGTGTTATTTAAAATTAATTTAACGCACACACAAGATAGATTGTACTTACACTAAAATGTTTTCTTAAATTATTAAACTTCTTATAAAAAAAATATCCTCAATAACTCTTAATACTTTAAAATATTTTTGAAAATTTGGCCATGGTAAAATTGGTACTCCTAATTTTTCAATCTGATCTACTTCGTTTGGAGAATCACAATCACTTATTGTATAAAAATTTAAAATAATTTAAATAATGAGAACAAGATAATATGGATATAACGTTGATGCAAAACAACAATCTGTAGATCATAGGAACATTTGATTTTAGAACGTAAACTACAAGCTACTACAAACTATTAATTTTCATTTATTTGTTATTATTATATTTTATTTTTTCTGAGTATCTTCACTTTTCATAAAAAAATTGTATCAATCCTGTCTAAAAGCTTATTTGTATTCGTATTGATGGTTTTATAATAATTTGAAGTATTGATAACATACGAATACTTTTTTGTTAAAACTTTCAATATTACACTATATGATAAAAATCTTATAAACAATAATAAATTACGAATACTTTCTTAGCTTGTGTTTTTAAATGCTTGATATTTCTATGTTTTTTCTGATACAAAATTTTTTTTTTTCGTTTCAGTAATTTCGATCTTCTTAAATTACTTAAAACTGCCAATGGCAACATATATAAATTATACATTGCAAAAAATAAATGGAAACTTTTAATATTTTTCAGTATTTTTGTATTGTTTATATTATTCATTTTTTCTCTTAGATTGAGAGAATATTGTAGAACGTTCGGCATCAAGTGGCAGTCGCCAATAGAAACAAACATCCTTGATATTCGCTTCAGACTTTGGTAATCACTAGAAACTTTTCCATACAAAACTTTACTCGGGTAAAATAAATATAGCAATCTTTTCTTTCTCCCCGAGTCGTTGGCTATTATTTTCTACCACTCATTCACTATATACCTTTCTATATTCTCCATTATTTTCTCTTCGACTCTATTTCTACGGTTTCTAACACTATAACAATGTTTCATACTTGATTTCTAATACGAAAAACTGTCGAATTTTATGACTCATGCTTCACCCGGCACATATTTTACATTTAATTTATTGATCCGTCAAAATTTCCTAAACTTGATGCGCTGTAAAATTAATGTCAAGTTCATGGCATCTATAAATCATTATATACTAAAGATGATGAGACAAACACGTCTTATTAAAAATTAAATAATGTAATATAATTTTTAACTAATAACAAAATTACATTACCTTTTCAGGTGATCTTTTCGATATATTATTGCCTATGTTGACAATCTATCAAGAATACGTTAGAAATCATCATTACAGTCTACAAGTGTTGACTGAATGTAAACAAAATCCCGCGTTTGTTAACCTTCTGGAGCGATTAGAAAATAAACCAGCCTGTCATGCACGTTCATTAGAAAACTTCCTAATAGTGCCGATGCATCAGGTAAAATCCATAATAATAGTGAAGTATATAATAAACGTTAATGTTGCATCCCCTATGTTAATTATTTTTAAATTTAAAATCCTCAATGTAAGTTAAAATTTAAATTAAATGAAATTATTTAAATAAAATTTAAATATGATTTATTGAAAATAGTTAAAGAACTATATTCATAACTATAGTTAATTAGTTGAAGTACTCTATATTCAATATTATGGCGATATCACCTGACCGGATATGTTAACTTTCATAAAAAACAAATTTTAAAACATATTCATCGATTATTTTTGTAATCTATTAAATGCATAATATTAAAAGGCTTTTTAAACAGAAATTAAGTACGGCATTGTTATATTTTTGATGCATGAACATCAAAAAAAAACTTTAATATTTTCCATCAGAATAAATGTTTAAATGTAGCACATTGAAATGATAAGTTTATTTTATTTTACGGCCGTCTCATTGGAATATCTCAGAAATATTTGTGATATAATAATGATTTATATTTATTTATTTGCTAATTTATATTACATTATATTACACATATAAAGATTATTATTAGATATATTACCATTTATTGGAAAATTAACTTTTCACATAACATGGTATTGTTTTTGTTCAGTTTGTGGTACGCAAACGCAAAAACCAAAAAGAGTTACAAACATTTATATTTTTATAATTTTTGCAAAATAAAATCAATTACTTTTTTATTTGTATGATATAGAATCATGACTATTATTTAAATATATATACATTCAGAAACAATAAACACATATACATACATGAGGTAGTTTCAAAACGAAACTAATGACTGGATAAAGCTGATTAAATTAGCTAACAATGTTAACATAATACCAGATATTTACGTATGAGTAAAATAAATTACAATAAATTATAAATTAGGTTTATCTAAAATTCATAATTGTATTTATATAAATATACTAGGCTGGTCAAATTAATGAAATTTTTTAACTCAGTTAATATAAGTAAATTGAGTTCATGTTCAATTAAGTTAAAAAATATCGTTAACTTAACTTTAAAATTAATAAGTTATTAAATAATATTTTATTAAAATTAATTAATTGATTAAATTAAAATTATTTATTAAATAAGTTTAATTAATAAGTTAAGTTAATAACAAAAAAAATAAAATAAAAATATTTAAATTAAGCGCTGATATAAGTGATATATATATATATATTAATAATTTACAACAGATCTTATTTAACATTAACGATAATGAAAATGCAGAAAAATATTATTAGACTCTATATATTATGAAATAATTTTAATAATAAAAGAGTACAGTTATTATTAGAACCATTTAATCAATGATATTATGTATCTATTTTTGTAAAATAGATTGACGGCCACTTTTCATGACAATGGTAATATAATTCATGGGTAGCATGACTACTTTTAATCAATAGTCTTAAGATGGTTGAGTACTTTTTCCGAGACCGATGGAACTTCTATTAATAGTTAATACCGTGATAAAAATTATGGTCTGATCTAAAAATTCTTTGAAATTTCTATTTTTATATTTTTCTAAATTCCATGAAATTGTTATGGAATACGGTATTTTACAAAAATATTTTTCTGGTCTTAAAAATTAAAATTAACTTAATTAGGATAAATGAAAAATAGTACGTTAATTTCAAGTTAATTTGTAAGGACATTATTTAAGTTAATAAGTTAATTTAATTTTTCAGTAATGAAATAAGTTAAGTTAATAGGTTAAATTAATTTAACTTTTAACTTTTTAACTCATTAATGCTCAGGCTTGCAAATATAAACTATAAAGAAATTATAATATATAGTAATGATCTAATTTAAATAATATAAATTTAAATTTAACAAAAACGTATTTAAATCTTATTAATTAAATATGTTATATAATATATAACATACAAGATTTAACATAACATTACGCAAAATAATACAACACAACGTACAATATACAATGTTTATTAAATATGAAATAATTTTTAAAAAACTCTAAGCTTCTTTTATTTTTACATTCAAAATAGTTGAGAAAAATATTTATTTTTTTCAATGTAATGATTTGCAATTTAATTTATTAATTCTTATATCTTATAGAATCTTATAATTTAAATTTTTAAACAATAAATATGTGTTTTTAAGGAACTATAATAAAGATGAAATGATTCATTAGATTAACATTACATGAATATATTTTTTTTATCGAATAAATAACAATAAAACCAATATAGAATATTAAAAAAATCTGCAAGTGATTCAGTGAGAGTTTTTCGATAACAATTGTTTTCAGATACCAAGGTACATCATAACTCTCCATGAGATATTAGCTCATACTCCACATGATCATGTCGAAAGAAAAAGTTTACAAACAGCATGCCAAAAACTAGAAGACCTGAGCAGACAAATCCATGACGAAGTCAGCGAAACTGAGAATTTACGGAAAAACCTTTCCATTGAACGAATGATCATCGAAGGCTGTGATATTTTACTAGATGTCAATCAAATATTTGTTAGACAGGGTACCTTGGTACAAATGCCAATAGCTAGAAAAAAGAGCAGAATACCCCATTTCAAATCTGAAAAGGAAGCGATCAGGCAATGTTTCTTGTTTACCAATCATATGATAATTACGACCAGGTAATGTTTTTGGTTTTTCAGATTTATTTTAGTGATTTTAAAGTATAAAATATTTATATTAAAATCAGCAAATAAAATAAAAAAATAACTTGATACGTAGGACTACTAGTGGGAAATTGCATTTAGCACCTGAAGTCGGAAAAATATCTTTGGCAGATTGTCGTCTTATTGAGGATCCTAATGATAAAGATGACGACAATAATCCGGGAGATATGGAAATTCAAGATGGCAATAATGAAGGTGCGGTCATTTTTTTTATAACGAATGTGTATGACCAAGTAGAACTTATTTTCCATAGCCGATGATTCAGCGGGTACCAGTCATTCGAGCGATGTTGAAAACAGCGATTGCGAAGGTTTAAAATATTTTTCTAGTCCAAGTCCAAGTCCTAGTCCAAAACCACAAAATTATGATTTTCAACTTTGCGTTGACTGCAAATCATCTTCAGCCCTAACGGTTCATTTATACGCACCCTCTTTACAAGAAAAAACTGCATGGGTCAGCGATATTAGTCAAGTAATTATATGTGCAAATTTAATAAAGTAACGAATAAACATTTGTTTTGACATAACTTTTTTTATTTTAGTGTATTGAAAATTTGAGATTTGACGCAATGCTTCGAAATTCTATGTCGGATACATCTTCTGTAACGATGCCGCATTCAATGCGCAATGATCCAAAACTTTTTAAAGATGACAAAGACATAAAATTCAGTAAATACTACAATTCTTGCAGGGTAAATTTGATGTTTTGATTAAGTTTAAACTATTCTATTTCATGAATACTTATACTGAAATTTTAGATTCCTCGTATTCATCATGCGACAAAAGAAAAACTAATATCTAGATTGGTCGATTTAAGATTTTTATCAATAGATTTTCTCAACACGTTTCTTCTTACATATAGAGTTTTTACGGATGGAGTTACTATTTTAGAAGCTTTAAAAAAGGTGTTCTATAATAATGAAGTAGATGCATATGAAACTATAGGCCAACCTGTCAATAATACGTATGTAAATCAATAATATTTTTGTAAATAGCAATGTATTTATATTTTATTAATGCTTTAGATCATTAGATCGAAGTGAATTACAAGATAATCACCATCTCAACCCCGGAGACAGAGAACGGAGAAGATCCAGCGTTGTTTCGTCACCTCGAAGAACTAGTGCCGCCAGTTCTGTATCTGGTATCCATTCTAAAAAAACGCTCACTGGAGCGTTCTAGGGTACTTACGTGTTTAACATATTATTTATGATTAATTTCAGGTTATGGATCAGAAATTAGTGACCGAGATAGAAGTTCCAGTGTCGATTATCAACATTGTCAAAGATCTGGACGAAAATACAGTTTTCGAAAACGTAAGTTATAGATACGAATTTATATATGTATTATTTCTAATGATAACTCATAGTGGAAGAAGAGGAAAGAAAAAATAAAATAAAAGTAACCGAAGAGTATAATTCAACAACAAGTTTATGTCAACAATCCTCACCGAGACGAAAAGTCAGTATTAGAATTGAAGATACTGGTGACAATTGTCATTTAGCTCCTCCTACAATGGTTAAGGCAACTTCGTCTTCAAGCAATGAAACTCTGACTGGAGGTTAGAACACTATAAGCCGTAATGCAATTTTTTCTAAACTGTCCTTTTTTATTATTTTTTTTTTTTTTTTTGATAGATAATCAACCCACAGTAGTTGCGACATCTCCATGTAGTAATAATAGTAGTTCAACCTTAGTAGCAGAAAATTCTAATAGTGATAAACATCCTAGTGACAGTAAAAATAATACTTCATCCAAAGCATCTTCGCCTGAACGCAAAACACAATCTCCTTCAAAGCTACACGGTTTTCCTATCCACCATGGACATGCGATTAAAATCGGGTCAATAATATCAGATGCTGCGAAAGAACTCGTAGAAAAGTAATATTATATCACTAGATGTAAATCAAATTGTATATATTTTTTGTACAACCTTATAGATTCCACTCAGAAAAACATTTTTATACGCCTCAGCCACGCAGAAGAAGTTGGTTCAATCATGAAAGTACTCCAGTAATAAGAAAAAAGAGTTTTGGGATTTGTGAGGATGACGTCGGTGCCAGTGACGACAATGGGTGGTTGAGTAATATACACAGTGCGTCGTCATCGAGATCGGCTTCGCTGGCTAACTCTAGCATTGCACAGGTATTTTTCAATCGCGAATATAATTGGCAATCTTTAACATAGTACAATTAATCTTTGAATTTGGTGCAGTATTTCTCTAGAAGAAAATCATTTGCGTGTACCGGCGATGCTGATGGCTGTTACAGTGGAAGCATATCACAAAGAACTAGCATGCAACATGACAGTCCACCGCTGTCTAGTAGAGCAGGGGTCGTCATAACGTCATCGAGACAATCTAAAAGAAGGTGAACCTTTAGTTTATGCTTTATGATTCAAACCTATCACCGAGTGATGGGTTCTATGTTACCTTAAAAAGCGTGGGACCAATTCATCACATAGGAACTATAGCAAGTTTATAATAAAATATAGGTCCTGCGCTCAATACATTATTATACAAATCCACCATTATAAAATGATTCTCAAAAATGTTTACACGTGTTTTGTTTTATTTTTGTGTTCAGAACTGGAAGGCCGGAATTTTGGTAAGTGCTGTGGGTATGCACAATGTGAGAGGTCTGACACATAAAAATCGGCATAGATAAGGGGTTTTTATTAAGTTTTTATTTTTAATTTCGTATTTCTGCATGAACCTATATCACTTACGGACTACATATTTGTATTTTGCTACTCTATAACAACTTAAAATACAAATATTATTATAATTATAATACTTGTTTCTCCCACACTGTACAAAATATTTGGTTTTAACACAAAAAGAACCAAATACTATATTACAGGGTCTTCCAGTATTTTAGAATAATTAAAAAAAGGCAATATTTGCATGGAATCTGACTAGCAGTTAGCTGAAACGTTTGATCCACACACCCTAGTAGTAAATATTAAAAGCTCTGGTACACTAATACACTTAGCTAACCCATATGTTCCCACAGGAACCGGGGCTAATTAGCTATGACTGTTAACCCTTTGCTGTTGTATAACGGCTAACACAAAGCCAGTAACACAAGAATAATAGTGGTAGATTTAAACTTTAAAAAAGTGTTAGTTATTTTATTATAAATAGTTTGAGTTTTTTGTTGACAAAATAGAGAACACCTATGATCCTGGGAATGTTTCCCTGCACGTGTTAATAGTTTTACATTCAAGTATCATATTGAATTGATTATATTCCCTCTGCCTCGTAATCAAGCCAAGTGCACACTTCAATCAGTATACTATTATTTCATTTTTATTTTTATTTTATTTTTTATAATAATCGGTTCAAAATAGTTCTTCACCGTCTAAAATTAAAATATTCAATTCAGTATTATTCAGAAATTCTACATGAGTCTTTTGGGACGATCAAGTATAGTTTATTTATTAACAGTGTCAATGACATATCATTGTTCTTTTATTCAAAGGAGCAGCACGTCTACGGCAGCTGCAGCATTTGCCATTGCTACATCAGCTTCGAGTAATCCTCGAGAACTTTCTCCTTTACACGATCAAAGATGCTGCTCTGTGGAACGAAAAAGAAAAGAATCTGTTATGTCTACAGCGGCTACAATGCGAGTTTTAAATGTTTTAAAACATTGGATATCAAAACACCCACAAGTACTAATTCGATCTATAATATTTGTGAATGAAAATTAAATTAAAAATTTTTTTTAGGATTTTGAAAATGAACCGCGACTAAAGAATATGACCATAGACTTTTTGGAAGATATACTTTTTAGTCCTAATCTGTTACCAGCAGAACATAAAATAGCTGGTCAGTTACTTAGATTACTCACAATGGACGAAACAAAAAAGGTCAACGTTGACCTAAATTCATTACTGATTCCATCTCAGGTATTTTAATAATATATAAGAAGTATACTTCATTTATTAATATAACAGCTCCATGTGGATGAGATGAGTACATAAATAATGTTGATTCATATTCATTCAATAATGATATCGATTCATTACGTAATTATTTATCGCATATTTTGAATTTACACTTACAAAAAAAGGATAAAATATTTTTTGTAGTAATGTACATAAAGTTAAAATAAGTCTTATTTTTCTATTACATTAATTGAAATATTTTGTATAAAAAGCTGAAATAACAGAAGATAAATACGCAGTAACTCACTGTACTATAATATTACAGACTATGATACTTTTATAATAAATATTTAATTAAATTAATCTTATATGAGCCTATGTCATATAAGTGTATGGGCGAATCTGAAGCTTGTTTTAAAAAGGGGTGAATAGGAATATTATTACTATTATTTATAATCATAAAACATAGGTACCTATAAAAAGATATACATATTATCCAATAATTAATATTTTTAAATAATTATTATGTATATCTATATAACTGTATACCTGCATCAGGCCCGTATTTAAAAATTTGGCAACCCCAGGCATATAATTTATGCCCCCCCCCCCCCGAAAAAAATAAATAATAATAATATAACACTTATTATTTCGTCCATAATCGAGATTCTTTAATATTAAAATATAACTTATAAATGAAAATCGTTTAATACTTTTTTTAATTAACAAATTAAATTATAATATAATAAAAATACAATTTTATTTTTTTTATTGTTTTATTTTTTTTCATTAGATACATAATTTTTAAAATTAATTTTGTTAAAATATTTTGCCACCCCTGAGACTTGATGCCCCCGGGCATGTACCTACCCGTGCCCCCCCCTATATACGGGCCTGACCTGCATTAAAAATATTAAAAGAATCTTTTATAAAAAAAAAAAAAAAGAAGCCTAAGAGGGAGAACAATTGACATATCACAACCCCCCCATATCCTCTATCAATTTGTTCATGTGTAAATGTTATAAGTCAACCTATATAAATTGGTCTACCGATACAACCTATTATTAGGCTAAAACTTATACTAAATACTTATAAAAAGCTAATAAATTTAATAAAATAAGTGATTTTTTACAGATTCCTAGTGCTGAAAATATTGATACGCTATCTGCATTAGAAATTGCCGAACAGATGACTTATATAGACCATCAAATATTTATCAGAATTCAAAGCCAGTAAGTATAATTATGCTATAAAAGAAATACGAGTATATTATATTAACTAGATATTTATTGAAGCTTAGAACGTAGTATCATATTTATTAATATCTAAAACTCTATTCGGTCTTATAGACATTGAACTTTTAGCATTCGAAGAATCTTTTTCTTTATTAAACCAAATCAAAAATCCATATTTAAAACATTGTTAATTTATAATTATAAATAAAAATCAATACAGGAAAATAGCGGGGTGCTTTAAATGGAAGAATGGAAAACTAAAATTATTCATATTAATCTAAATATAATTATTATATTATTGATTAGAAAATACAATTTATAATTATTTGCATTTAATATAAGTTAACATTTATTCGAAAGTTTTCACGTGATATTAAATTTTATTATTTGTATTATTGTATGACTAATTATGTATATATTCAGAGAATTTTTCGGTCGTGCTTGGATGAAAGATGATAAAAATATAAAAGCACCCCACATTATCTTAATGACTAAAAGATTCAACGAATTGTCACAACTGGTCGCATCAGAAATCATGCGTAAGAATAATGTAGCTGCTAGAGTTATTACAATAGAAAAGTGGGCCGCAGTAGCTGACATTTCCAGATGTTTGCATAACTTTAACGGAGTTCTACAAATCTGTTCAGCGTTCACCAATAGCTCAGTGTTCAGATTGAAGAAAACATGGGAAAAAGTTTCAAAAGCCGTAAGTTTTTCATTAAAACGACCATGAATTTTTTTAATTTTTTTTTATTATATTTTATTTTTTGAAGTAGCTTTTCTTTACTATTTAACTCAACAGTTAAATTACATCAAAAAATTAACAATACAAAAAAACAAAAACTAAATTAAGACGTATTAGATAGTCACCAAGTTTATGTGATAAATCATGGATACTTTACTCTCTATAAATGTACAAAAAAGAAAATAATATAGTTTAGTTTGTAGGCGTGAGAGAGTAAAATATTATAGTTCTATACGTAAACGGTTTAATTGTATAATATAAAATTTGGATAATAATACGCTTTTGAATGAAATATTATTAACAATATTAGGAATAATAAATTTATATCTGGAGCAGAAATTAGTGGGTAGGTCGTTTCAATAAGCAGACCTAAAATTATAACCATGACGCTGTAGAAGTGGAGTAAAGCCTGACTAAGGAATTAGGGACAAAGAAGGGCTAATAAAGTTAGAGGAAGATTTAAGGTAGCTAAGTAATCGGCAATCGTATTGCCAACAACCATGTTACATTATTAAAAATATTTTTTTATAAGATTGGTGTTATTAATTACTGAAAGGTATACAGCAATTATACACAGCATTATATACTAATTCATTTATACATTTTATAGGTTATTAACTCATTAAATATTATATATCTATTCATTTATTTTCAGACCAAACAATCGGTGCAGAAGCTTCAGATAATTGTTTCATCAGATGGAAGGTTCAGAAACCTTCGCGAAGCTCTTCACAGATGTGATCCGCCATGTATTCCATATTTAGGAATGTATTTAAGTGATTTATCGTTTTTAGAGGAAGGAACACCCAGTTTAGCAGATGATGGCTTGCTTAATTTTTCCAAACTACGTATGGTGAGTATATATATGTATATAATTTGTATGTATAAAATAGTAATTATATTATCAACTCGAGATAATGATTTAAATTTTTGAAAAATAATTTCTCAGAATCATTGATAACTAATGTAATAATAATTAGATAATATTTCAATTATAAGGTCACATTGCTAACATTGGGTTTGAATAAATATTATACCGATAGTAAAGTCAGTGTCGTTTTATGTCAAAACTGATTTCTGATCACTTTTAATCTTGATGTAGTGAATGTTGTTGATACAGCTTAAATTTTATTGTTTTGCGCATGTTGTTTAGATTGCGCACGTGGTGCAAGAGATACGTCGGTTTCAGCAGACACCGTACAAAATTGACTTCCAACCCAGGGTTGCAAGCTATTTATTGGACACTTCATTTTTGATGAACGAAGACGAGCTGTACACCCGATCGTTGGAGATTGAACCACGACCGTCCAGGCTGAGTATCACGACGTTGTCGAATTCACCGCATCACAGTGGAAGCCAATGACGGCGGTTCAGCACCAAGAGGAATCAGACAACGTGCTTTAAATGAACATACAACGCAAATGTAACCGTGATGGGAGATAGTAATTGTAGTGGTGGTCGGTGAAGGCGATCATCGTATCGTTCGCATTAGTCGTCTTCGTTGTCATAAACGTCATCGTTCTCATCGGCGTGGGGTTAGATTTAACTGTTATATTATTACTACGTAGTGTAACGAGTATTAGACCGATCGGACGGATGACTTGTCAAAGGATTCGATGATGAGAGGGTCCATTCTCTTCTTCGTTTCTCAAGATATCCTATACCATCTGGCCACTCCACTCCGTTGGCGTGTAATATAATATTGTTTTATCACCACCGCCACCACTACCACCAAACTTTTCTCGCCATCAACATCATCCTAGAGTGTACTTCGGTCGACTAAGTCTCCTCCGGGCAAAGTCCGTACCAATATTCTACCAGGAGGGCTGTTTTAGTGCTGATAAGTACCTGTAAACATTTCTACTTGATCTTGCTGTTATTACTGTGCCACTGCTCTTAGCTTTATTTTTTCGATAACCGCTTTATAGTATATTTATGTCGCACTTGTATAGTGCAACTGTACTTTTCATGAAATTTGACCTTATCGCATTAATGGCGTTTTGGGATTCTACCAGTTGTCACGTACTGCACCCGTTGTATAAAATCATAAGTTTGTAAATCATTTTGAATTCAAATCATTACGTGAATCTTCTGATGACATTAATGTCGTAGAGAACTCATTATTATCGAATATTTTTTAAATGTTTTTAACTAATATTAATTAAATAGGATCTAAATTAAATTAAATGGTGGTTAGTATTGTTACTACATACTGTTTAATAATCAAATTGAAAGTTTGTTGTTGAAAGTACCACATTTTAGATGGATTGAATTTCAAGTGATATGTAAATTATATCGTACAGATTATCTTAAATTCATTATTTAATATTCATACTATTACTATAATATGATAAGTATAGTATTTTCATTAAAATATTGGCCAGATAACAAAAACATTTTCAGAATATTTTTTTTTCTTCTTTCTTTTTTTTCTCGATACCTGTTTTACGAAATGGTTAAACGTTCATCCATTATCTGGAGTCAAAAAACAATTTATTCAATAAGATTAATGTTCGTGAAAATTATTTCCATTTTAAAAATTAGGATCACATTATTATGAAATAAAATAGATTGTATTGTTAGGATCAGAGAAACTAAGCCATTTTATATTTTACAATTTTTTTTTTTAATATTTTTACTATACTCACTCTCTAAAGTTAATCTTTAAAATTAATATAATTATTGAAATAATTATTGATCTAAAAATATAAAATAATACTTGTGAAAATATTTTTAAAACCCTGTTAAACATATTTTGATTTGTAAATTTTAATGTCTATTGAATAAGCGCGTGGTCAATATGTCTTCTAATCCAATCGTAAAAGGTTAGATTATTGTCTCTACTTCATAATGTATAAAAATTTGATGTGTGAGCATGTGTATATGTTGTGTTTGTACTTGTGTACATTTTGTTTTAACGTTTATTCGAATTTTTTGTAATTTTGTCTTCCAAATAATATCGGACTACACACAACTGATAAAGTTTATTTTGCGTGTATTGCGTCACATGTGGTCTTTAATCTATTCTAATTCATTACTAATTTATTTGTTTAATTTTTTTAATTTTTTAAGGTCATAGATACGTCGTATCCTAATTGATGATCAAAATCTCACTTGCGTACTGTACAACTACTTTCGACGTAATTATATGATACATGCGATACATGGTATCCTTATCCGCTCGTGCCTTTAAGAGCAATATTATTTACTGATAATAAAACGCGTAAAAGACTATTCACAATGTATTAAAATTTCCCATACAAATATAACCGTTATAGACATGTCAATTAAATAGTTTCAGTGTTGTTGTGTGACAATATAATCGAGCTGAAAAAAAAAACTATGTACAATGGTTTCATAAAGAATATATTTCTTACCATTACAATTCGTTCGGTAAACAAATTGGTAATTTTCGACGGGCAAGTTTGTACGTGTGATAATTATTTAATTTTGGTTCGTAATATTGATTTTGACGTCTTTGGTTAGGTCACCGAAAATCATTAGGACTTTTGAATACAATATTCAAAAATTGATTTTTCACGTCCTCGAACTGGTAGAAACGCAAGTTTAATCGTTTTTAAAATATTGCTGTCAAAATATATTGTTAATAATTTTCACAACAGAGAACATTATGCGTATAGGTTGCTCAGAAAAATGTTTGATTTATATTATTATAACGAATATCCAATAAAATGTGTGTCAAATACCGTAATGGAAAGGTTAAAAAATATTGGTTCAACTTCTGTTAAAGCATTAGTCATTAATTGTCAACACAATATTTATACCCGTTTTTACGTAAACATTCGTTTGATAAATTTTTGTTTTTGACTATTGCTTTTTACAATAGTTAACTTGTAAAAAAATTTTTAAAAAATAAAATCTTTACATTACATATTATTAATTTTTTTCTGATTCTTTCAATGAATACATCTGATTGGTTTCCCAGAAGTTTCAATAATATATATAATAAAATAATAATAAATATATAAGTACACTTATACCGCCTAAGAAATTAATATGCATATGTATTATTATAATATAATAGACATTCAAGACACAGCTTTCAAGTCTATTCAGGTGACGAAAAAACTTACATAGCTATTTTATTTATTTTAGACAAATGCAGTTTTAAAACTTTTCTTGATTGCCAAATTTTTCTTGTTAAATTTACAATTTTACACGTTAATTTGTCTATGTTATACGAGTATCTTTCAAAAGATATATTTTTTCCTATGTACTTTTTCGACATTATATTATAAATCATAACAAAATAATAAAATGTAAATTTGATTTTAAATATATATATATACATATGTATTGTATTTTAACAATCTTTCGATGTAAATTGATTAGTTTGTTGGAGTAATTTTTATTCATTTTTCGAAATATTTATTTTCTGTATTATAGATATATAATAATAACTATTAAGTAACAAGTTCAATCGCCAGAAATATATGAAATTAGATTATAAATATTTATTTTTCTCATAAATGACAATCACCTATAGATACTATAACATACAAATATATGTACTTAATTAGATTACATAGTATTAAAGAACATATATATATATATATATATATATATATATATATATATATATATTATATAAATCAATGTTACCTATATATTATAATATGGTTCAAGTAAAAATGTTTAACGAATTTTCTTACACTAACATATCGTCGGTGGAGTTTGATCTCTGTTTTAAGTACTTAAAATGTATCATATTATATATATATTATTTCATAATTATTCTAATGATAATAATATTATAAACTTAAATAACATGAAACTAATAGATACTTAAAAAAATGCGGATTCACGGCTGATGTGTTTCGAGCTCATTTCCGATTTCTTATCAACTTATGAAATTAATAATCATATATGAGTCGAGTTTTTCTTAACTTTTGCAGTCGTTATTTTTCTGAATTTGTTATTTTTTTTTTTTTTATATAACTCGACGAGTGTGTAGCGTTCACATCTGTCCGCCTTTTTTTAATTGTCAGTTATTCGAGTTTTAAACATGTGCCAAAGTGTATTTACATATAACGTACATTTTTTTTTCGTGTTGTGATTTTTTACAAAAATTTATTCTATTAAGATTATATTAAACCTAAGTGCAAATGATGATTTTACGTAAAATAAATCGATGCATATTAATAATGTTCAAATATTTATTATGCGTGATGAGTGATAATATTGAGTTGTTGTAAAGCTCTACCATGTTTTTCATATTATTTTTAGTTTATATAATTATATGCACTTATATTTATTTATTTATTGTTCTTTAAGTAATCTTAGTATATAACATCTGTTGTTAAATTATATTATATAATTGTTGTATCAATTTCTTCATAAATATTACGACAAAGAGTTTATGTCATTGTTCAATAAGATATTTCGGTTGTTATTAAAATCAATGTTCTATAAAAATGTCGAAGTGTTTCTCATTCACCTTGTATTAACTGATGATCACGAGTGATAACAGTAGTCATCTACTATTCTAAGTCCCGGTTATTCCGATTGGTTCAATACGTGTACCTAGTTCAATTACATAAATTGGCCAATTGGCTATATTTAAACCAATGCAATATTGTAAATTACATTATTATGATTTATTGTTCAACTTTAAAAATTAATAAGTATTATACAATTTTTCAGTTCGTTTGAAGTAAATGTATTTTATGAAAAATCCAAACGGTAGTTCAGCTTAGGGATCAAAATTTCCGAAAAAAAAAGGGTTTTTTCAGAAAAATTGGGAAAATTGATTTTCATTTAAAATTTCCAGAAAAAAAATGGTTTTTGGGGGAAAAAATGGATTTCAGGAAAAATTGGAAAATTTCTTTTTAAAAAAATACACTTTTCTCTAAAAATCGAAAAAGTAGTGGAAACGTTGGAAAAATAGAAACTCTCTGCAATAAACAAAGATAAATCTTATAATTGATAATCGCGTATATTCTAGAACTTGTTTGCGATACCTGTATAGTTATAAATACGAAAGCTGCAGACAGCCACAGCATTAGTATCGATTACGTTTTTAGAGTGTATACGGTGATCGCTTTATTTTTATTTTTTTGTTTTTAATACCTACGCGTGGTTTCCCGTAAGTGACATGCTAAACAAATAAACAATATAATTTTATATTATTCGTGTGAATCGTGTATTTATCTCAATTTATCAATTAATTTTAAATTATAAATTGTAATTAATTCAATAATGGCTAAAAGAATGTTTAATGTCTTTAATATTAAAAAAAAAATTAGTTGTTACTAATTCCTTAATTCCTTGTCAACAACAACACTAGAATCTGAAAATGAAGATTTAAATATTGGTTTAGACATTGATACAACTACACAAAAAGAATGAAGTCAGCCAATCAGTGGAGCAACAAGCGGAGGTGTTGGGTGTGGCTTACACAAAGCACCAGAGTACCCCAATATTTTGGGGGGGCACTATATAAATATTATATTTTTAAGCATTTTGATTTTTATATATTGAGATCGTATTTTTAGACCATATTTGGCATGATTACAATAGTTTTTAACAAGAAATTTTAGAGTGTAGAACTATATATGACGACAATATCATTGTTTTCCCATTATAAAGCTATTATTATCTGTTTTACATATTTGTATTATTGGTAAAGACCATGGCAGGATAGAGAGTACAATAAAAGACGCGAATAACTGTATGTTGCACCTATGATAAAATTACTATTATTTGATCATTAAAATTAGAGGGCCCGAGTAAATGTGTGTTTTGTTCTAATTTTGTTTTTGAAATTACCATAAAATTGATACCTATAGCCCTAGTCAGGGCTGTCGTTAAGGGTAGGCAGTGCTGGCATTTGCCTAGGGCAGGCATGTCAAACACGCGGCCCGCGGGCCGCATGCGGACTGCGACTTATTTTTTTGAGACCCTCGGCTAATAATATTAATGGACAAAATAAAAAAAGAATAAAAAAAAAAAATTATAAAATATTAATCATGTGTTTCAACTAACATAGATTCTTTAAGAATGGTATTTATTTTGGTACACATTATTATGTTTTATCTTCTGATAAACTTTAATCTAATCGAGCAATTAGTGTTATTGATGGTTTCATATGTATAAATAATAAATATATATAAATAGATTATGGTATATAAATTAATAATTTATATTGTCGGTACGCGACACGCGTGCCTTTGGAAACTAGTCGTTCGACAACCAGCGTGTGTTCCAGTTTAAATTTTGTTGCGTATATTTTACTACAAATTAATAAATTTAAAAATGTCTGTATCAAAACCAAGTGGTAG